GAGGGTTTCCTCGAATGATTTGCAGCGTGACTTCGGTCTCGACTCCCGCGACATCGAGGAAAAACATTTGGAGAAGATCAAGTCGACGAGTTGTTTTTCCGAAACGAGACTACCTTAATTAAATTACGCAAGATAGAGAAGAAGAAGGAGAAAAAGAAAGAGGATCTCCCTCACACAAGGAGTGACTCAAATGCGTCGTAAAGCTCGCAATTCGAGCATCTACACATGACGACGTGACACACTTTTCGTCGCGTTTGTCCCGATAGTCGCATCACGACTCGCGAAACGAACGGTCGTTAGTTAGTGCCAACTTATAGATGAATTGTACAATGATTATCATTAATTAATTCCCCTCTCATATATGTAATTTAATGGATGACCCGCGGGGATATCGCGATGATACGCCCGATGCATTAACGGTGAAATATTCGGTCGGACGTTAACGAGCGATGCCGGAAGCTCGTAGACAAATAGCAATTAGAGGACACCTGTTCCTGTCCCAAACGAGAACAAAAGGTCGTGTGCGCGGCCGAATCGATCGGACAAGATTTATATTCGACATCGGCGCGACAAAGGCAGAGAGAAAAAGAGAGAATATGTGAACCAAATGAGAGAGAGAGAGAGAGAGAGGGGGACGGGAGCGAGACGGATGAATAAAGAAGGGAGCTGGAAAAGAGCTGTCGGACAACTATGAGAACAGTAAGTTATAATGGTTCCTCAGCGGATACCTCGCTGTAGCATACAGAAGGCTATGGCGACGCAACTACTCTACTCTAAAGGAATAATATCAGCCGGTGCTGCCGAAATATTGGCATCCGGCCAAATGGAAATAAATAAAAAGACCGAAAAGGGCTGCTGGGGCCATCCTGCGACACTGCATGCGAGTGCATCGCATATGTGACGTTACACGCGCGAGGCCGTATTAATTTAAATTCGTCATATATAGAATAAATATGACTCGCTTATACAAGCTCGACGCAGTCTCTGTATGTATGTATATGTGCACATACACAGAAAAATATGATTCTACTGTTAAGAAAAGCGATTACTCAGTTCATTTTCCTTCTTTTAAGGAACTAAACCAATGTAACACTCTGAAAAAAGCGTAGTTTGAGAATTAATTTTACGAAAATGGATCAACCGAAAGTTTTAAAACATTTTATACTAATTAAAAGTAACTATTAAACTTTATGTTACTTTTTAGAAAAACCTATAAATAAATATGCAATATGTGCTCAACTTACGACTGCAAAAATATCGCTGCAATCGATGGAAAAAATAGCGCTCATTTTAGATCTAAGATCAAAAAACCAAAAAATTTCTTGAATAATATGCTTGTAGTTGAAAGATAAACCTTAATTTTAAACTGAGGAACAAAAATTGCAGAAACAATAGCTATTTAAAAATTGAATATCCAAATTTCACATCTTTTTGTTATTTTGCACTGTTAAAAAAAGTACTAAGTTTAATGTTTTTCTGACTTTTTTAAATTTATTCTCCAACTACAAGCATATTATTTAAAAATTTTTTTGGTTTTCTGATCATTTTCAGATCTCTAGAACAGGCGCTATTTTTTCTGCCGAATACAGCAATATTTTTTGCAGTCATAAGGCCATATACTGCATATTTATTTATGTCTTTTTCTAAATAACAGAAATGTAAATAATAATATAATATAAATTTATATTATAACTATAAATATAAATAATGTAAAATTTAATATTTACTTAATTAATATACAATGTTCCAAAATATTTGGTTGGTCCATTTTTGCAAAATTAATTAATTCCTAAAAATATCTTTTTTTTAAAGCGTTATATTTCGCTTTAAATAATCGTCGTCTTCAACAAAGAATATTTTCTTGATAATAGTTATGAAATTACATCATAAATTTTAGAAAAGCTCATGTGCTTAAAAGAAAAATTCATTCCTTTCACATTAATATTGTACAACTTTATCGAAGAAAATTTTGGTTCAAATCTATGCAGAGTAAATTGCATAGATAAGATTGTATAGATAGTAAATCTCAGTAATTAAATATTTAATAATTAAAACATTAACAATATATTTATAAGTAATATTTCTAAAAAAGACTGAAATTTTATTAAAAAATATTTTTTTTATCAATTTGTAGTATTACACAAGTATTATTCAAGTATTATTCAAGTAAGTATTATTCAATAATTAAGACATGATTTATTTTACAGTTCAACCATTGATATAACTAGCATTACTTAATATCTCACTAAAATTATTATTTATATTTATTTATTACTTTATTTCTGTCCTATTATTTTTCAATTGCTGGCACAAACTAAAGTTTTATATAAACGTTAATTTTGTTAATAATTCCATTAATTCTTAATTAATAAAAATGTAAAACTGATTGTGCTTTCTTATCAATTTAGTCATTAGGACATTTAATAACAAGTCGAATTCTCGTTTTAATGTAATGCTCTTGATTGAAATGCTAAACTCACTAGAATGCAGAATGTAGTTAGAGTAAGTTTAATGAAGATTGTAATTTTAATATTAAACATTGTATTTCGAATAAATTTGATAAACGAGTAAATTTGATACTTATATTAAACTCAACAGATTTACGGATATATTAATAAAAAATTATTGTAATTACTTGAATGTTTTGCATCATATATTCGATAGATCATCAAATGTACTATTTTTACAATACTTAATACTAGAATTTCAGTATAGTCCTGCTTTAAAAAAAAAAAAACATTGTTTTTTAAACAATGTTTTTGTAAAAGGAAGATAGTTTTAACGTAAATTCTACTATAATATTTTCTCCGTATACACACATCATAAATACATACATCATAAATTTTAGAAAATTTTGATATGCTAAACTTACTAGAGTTTAGAATTTATCTTGGATAAATTTGATAGTTATGATGCATTTATAGTACGTTTGCGGATATATACATTTTTACGAAATACTTGAAACAAATAACATTAACTTGAATGTAGTGTGTATTTTTCTATATGCAGCTTAGCTCAGATTTCTAACTAGAATCTCACTGAATTCGCGAATGGTTGCCCACATGAATAACAAAAAAGGTATTTGAGAAAAATAAGGATCATTAATCTTTAGGCTCCCGGCATTTTTTCATTAAAAAAGTGATTTTCTTTCTCAAAAATTTTTCTACATAAGTAATATACGCATGGTGCAGAATTTTGAGATTTATGCAGAGCCACAAAAGTGGTTTTTCCGGCAGTCTAAGAGAGAGTGAGAGTGAGAGAGTGTGTATGTGTGTGTGAGAGAGAGAGAGAGAGAAAGAGAGAGAGAGAGAGAGAGAGAAAGAAAGAAAGAGAGAAGAAATACGTTAGCGGCGAAATTTTATAAAATGTACTTATTCTTTTATGAAACGGCGTTCGAATATCATTTTATGCTCGACCTATTCGGCCCGACAGGTCTTAAAAAGCACTAAAGAACGATGTAAGCAGCCATAATTCGAATGACCCGTTGTTACCGTCTTCTTTTGCTATTTCCCGACGCTTTTTAATGAAGGTCCGCTTTATCATCGCGATTGCTCTATTCTTTCACCTTCTGATTTTTAAGCATTCCCTTCTCCCTCTCCACCCACCCCCATTTTCCGTCACCGCGTCCACAAGCACCACTTTTAAAACCATCTCTTCTCAATTATTTTCGCCGCAAAATGCCATTTTCCCCCGAGAACGTCAGACGTCTTTCGCCTTTGGCGCAATTATCGTCACGCAACGAATAATCGAACAATATAAAAAGATCCCACGCTATCCCTCTTTAATTCGTGCTGCTACGAACGCGGCATAATGACAGAGCTGGATTTCACGACGCATGAATGTACGCCGCACCACTCGTATCAACACTAGAGCAACATTAATAATGGCGCTAACGCTCGCATCCATTCGCATTTGCTCGATATGGAAGGAGAGAGAGTAAAAGAGCACAGGCGCGTAAAAGCACGCATATACATTCGACGTATGATTCACATTCTTCATACGCTCAAATAACGCGTTTTGAACCTATCTGCATCATATCCGAGTATATTGCAAGCTTTTTTTTCTTTCGTCGCAATGGTGTTTTATTATAAACGAACATTATAAACGAATTACGAATGCAACGCTGCAATCGAATGTAACGGCAAAAGCATCGATGCGATACCGTGAAACAAAATAACGCGTCCTTATATGCCCACGAATTAAAACGAATTTGAAAGCATACGCATTTTTAACTCGCAAAAAGCAACACAAGCCATGCCTATATCGATAAAAAAAATTTCTTTGAAATGTATTTATAGGATATATCTATCTATGTGATCTATTTATGTGAATTAAAATTTAATTCTCTGTGAATAAACTTTATGTCTCACACAAATAAATTTTCAAGTATTTTTTTTCCTAGCATATAATTTGCAATTTCAGACATTAAAAGAGAGAAAAATGTTCTACATTGTGTTTGAGAGAAAAAATACTTGAAAATTTATTTGTGGGATATAAAATTTATTTATGTAAAGTTTATTTCTGTGAATAAACTTTATCTGCCATAAATAAATGTTGAAGTATTCTTTTTCTCAATGTATAACAAAGTTCAGACATAAATATATAAAGAGAGAAAAAATGTCTTACATACTGTAAGAAAAATTACTTAAAAATTCATTTGTGGAATATAAGATTTATTTCTGTGATATAAAGTTTATTTCTGTAAAATAAAATTTATTCTGCCAATAAACTTCATATCCTATAAATTTCTAGTATTTTTTCTCAATGTCGGGTAAAACATCTAATTATTAGTATCTTTTTAGTCATTGACGTTTCAGAAAAAAACCTGATCTTTCATGCGACCAGCACTATAGTTAAACTTCTTGCCTACTAAAAGAACTTGACAACTAAACTGTAAACAACCGTCATTGGTCGCAAATAAAACCACATTTTTCTAGAACCTCAATGACAAAGGAGGATTGATAATTGGGTGTGAGTAGAATTGAATGTTTTTATTTTACCATTTTCTCGTGATCTTCTTGGAGAGTGAGCTTCTCTTGGTTCACCGCGAGACAGACTAACGCTTCCAACTTTTCTTCATCTGCACCTTCACTGGACGTTCTTAATGCCGATTTTATTTTACTTTCGTTGACTGTCTGCAAATAATAGTTTTTATAAAAACACATTGTATCAGTTTCAGACGAGAATCACGTGGCTTGAATGAGTTTCGGGTATATAAAATTGTATATTATGAAATAGCGGTGAGATAAATAACGCTAACAACGCACCCTTAGTTTCTCCAATTCCTTCTGCAGGTTGTTGACTTTGTGATACATATGCAGAACGAATAAATCGAACGCTTCCTCGTTGACGGACAGCTTCTTTTCGTGGATATTTATACTAGGGAACAGAATTTGCAATTCTTCGTTGAAGTTTTCCCGCGCCGTCTTGACCTGCTGCCAATAGCGCTCCGTGATGTTACCGCTACGCACCTCCTCGTTGTACTTTCTCTTGGCCTCGTCCACATCGTCCAGAATCTTTCTGACGTTTCGTCTGGCAGCAGTTTTCATATGGGCGGGCGCATCCAGTATTGGCTCGTCGATTAAGTTGTACATGCGCTTGAGCAAATCGAATGCATCTTTCGCACGCTCCTCCGCTTGTCGCACCGCCTCCTTCTTCTTCTCCGTCACATCCTTTAGCCTGTACAACAGCCGCAAACCCAATTACATAATCGATACAGAAATGAAGCGTGAAACGATTACGTAAGCATAACGAAGATCACCTTTGCCAAACGACGCCGCTTATTGCACTGCCGGTGCTTTCGACCACCTTGACAACGTCGCGATTGTACTCCTCGACTGCGCATGTTGCCTTGTGGTAGGCTGCAATGGCTTTAGAAGCGGCCTCGCCACAAGAAGTTTCTAAATCAACGAGATTTTGCGGCATCAACTCTTTGGGTACATTTTTGGAAGGCAGTGCTGGTTTCTCAACCACTGTAACAAAAAATATAAACTCAATTATCTTTCGTAAAATCTTCACACATAAAGTGATAAGAATACACAACATACCAACGTCTACTTTCTCGCCCTTCTCTTTACTAACACGAATCTCGGTATAATTCTGGTTAATAGGTGTTTCCTTTTTCTCAACTAATGGCTTGAAAACTGGTTTGGGTGCTACAATATATACAAATAAGTGATCAAGGTTATTAGGGATATCAAAAAACGTTCAATAATTAATTATCCTCTATTACTATTCATTAATTAACTATGCTCCAGTACCATTTAATAAATAATTAGGTTCTCTTTATAAAAAGTCATGGAAAAGATAAAAGTATCAAAAGATAAAATACATGATCAGATACATATGAGATAAAATGTGTGTGTATGGATTGCTTATTGATTAAATTTTTCTCTGCTTTAATACTATTTAATAATTATGCTCTACATATAATAAATGATATAAGAGGATATAAGTATTAAAGGGTAAAATATGATTAGATACAGGTTAAATTAGATGAGGTAGGAGATATGGATTGGGACTCACGTATGTAATCAGTAAATTTTACACAATTTAGTCTTTCCTGACCTGGTTTTGGTTCCTCTTTGACAAACATATCCGTTATCCTGCAAAAAATATGCATACTTTGAAGATACTGATTAGCAACCATGAGTAATAGTATATACAATTGATCTCCTTACGTCTGCTTCAATGTCGCGAAGAACGTTAAAATGAAGTTGAAATAGCTGGAATCCTCTAGAAAGATGACTCGAATAGCTTTGTCTGTGCCAGGAACCCATCCTTCGAGACTAGCGCGAAATTCTGGGTTGGTTTTCGCGTATGTTAATATTCCTAGAGTACTTATCGTTACAGCTCCTAGAGTTAGCAACGTTCCAGACCCTTTGCTCTTCTCACTGTCAGAACATTTATACATTGAAGCAAATCAAAATTTTTGTTGGATAATGTACAACCAGAAGAAATGATATATTATGCAACAAACAAATAGCAGCAACATATATTTGTTCAGTAAGTAGTATGGCAAATATTTTCATGATTTTATTCTGCGTACCTTTTCGGCGATGCAGTTGAATACTTAGGTGCACTGAGTCTGGATATAAGTCTGACATCCTTGCACAACCTGAAAAAAAGGATAATAAGGCTAATATAAAAGGTTTTATAAAATTAGCCTGTTAAATCGATAGTCCTTGCAATTACAGATGATCTAACTGACCATAACCTCTTAGTTTCTAGCAATAGAAAGAAGCAGTACATAAAGGTAATAAGTAATAGCAAAAGTAGAAATATGACAGACAGTGTGTCACTGGTAAAATTACTACTGCCTCTTTTTTTAGGAGCCACCTCATCACAGACATAACCTTTCCAGCCTGCCATAAAAATCACGAAACTTTACACTGAAAATACCCACCAATCACTTCACTAATCATTCACTTTCACTGCATTTCGAAGTTCATACATAACAAGATATTATTCTTTCAAGCATCCTCTATGCATTAATACTCCTAACAACACACAGCATGGCAAAGACTGTCAAAACAAACTCTTCTCCGGATACTCACCTACCATCCGGCTCGCATTTAATGTGCGATCGCGTCTCATAGTACCTGGCCGTCAAGTGCAACCTGGAGCAGCCGTGTTTTTTTATCTGTAAGAGAGCAACGATGATGGTCAGAACTCCTGGAATTATGTAAGCTCTCAAAATCGAGCCATCTTTGTCACACGCACGAAGCCGTGAGCCGAGACGTCGCCCGCGGCCGAATATTCTCACTGGAAATCCCTGAGATCGGCGTCGTAGTCATGACGCCTGGTGCTCCCGCCTTCTCCGTCGAGCCCGCGTCAACGTGCGTCAGCCGACGGAGGAAGGAACCGACGGAGCAGACGTCGCCGCAAAAGCAGTCGAGGACAACGTGTGACACAGTGCGACCGTCTCGTCTCGCGGACGGCGCTCTTTCTCAGCGACCTGGCTCGTATCTTCCGCAAGCACAGCGCGGACGATCGCGAGCAAAACCCGCAACTCCCTTTCGTTTGCTCTACGTACCCGACTTAGACCGTTGTACGGAAATTTTAACCCAATTCGGAACATCCTTCGAGTGGCCGGTCAGGCAGCCAGCGGGAAAAAGGGAACGACGGTACAAACAGCTGGTCGCCGACCAGACGGAACTGCGCGAATAGAAGAATGCTGCGTGTGGTGGGCGCAGCGCTGCGAGGTGGGTTTGTGTATGTCTCGAGGTCGGCTCCGTCTTCGGCGAGCGCATCGCGAGGAACTATCACGGCGCGATTTCGCGGCGAATCATAATTGTCGTGATTCCGCGTTTCGTCGCGGCGAAAAGGCGAGAACCTTGGACTGCGGAGGTTATGTTCGTCGCGGCAGCCCTCCATGATGGACAGGAGAAACGGCCCGGAATCCGGACGGAAGCGCGCCTTTAAACGCGATTTTCGGCTTGAAGTTTGCAGCTTGCGAGAGTTTCGAGAATCGCTGGGAATTTCAAATTAATTTTATGTCATTGCTATATATGGACAGATGATTCGAGTGATTTGTGTAGAATCGAATGGCGTTAAAAGAGAAATTCGAATAACAAAAATGACTTTTCGATGACAAAAATATCTTGTCCCGCAACTGAGTGTCCTCGAGACTGATTGTAAATCTTTTCTTTTAATGTAAACTCGTGAAAAGTCAAAGTTCAATGCCTCCAAGCCAGATAATGTTCACTTTTCACGAGTTTACATTGGAGGTAAAGATCCATGATTGATTTTCTGCTGTTGTTTTAGGTATCGCAGCAAGAGCAGTGAGTGCAAATGTGACTAAGCCTATTGTTCCTACGTGTAATTCTGTTACTAATTATGTACAATGTAGAGGGTTTGGAGCACTATCAGCTATCGTCCAAAAATGGACCACAGTTGGGCCAGAGCAACACAAAACACTATTGAAGTAAAATATTGCTATTATTGGTGATGAAATATGTCAGGATTGGGTATTTAAATTATAATACTTTATGTCTATGTGTATATAGACAATGTAAACTATGTGTGAAATGTCATTAATATAGATAATGAGTAATCTATCGATATCATTTAAAGAATACATAACTTGCTCGAAAAGTAATTAAGAAAAATTGATATTTCTTTAACTTTTAAAATCTGATGTGTATTTATAAACGTTTTCTAAACAAGTTAATGTCCACAGAATTTCCTGGCTGCATTCTTAGATGTAAATCTACCAATGTATCGCATAATAACATGCTAATTTCATACAATTTGACATCTTTTTTTAAAACAGTACATTTATAGTTAATAATTAAAAAAGATACAGTATAACTATCTCATAATTTAATTATTCTTTTTTGTGTTTTATAATATAATTTACAATCTCTTCTGTATAGTTTAAACTGTTTACATGGAAAAAATTATATATACAATCCATGTAAGCAATCCTGATAGGTATAATCTTGAAATCTATCTTAGAATCATAATCACAATAATCCTGAAATATATATTAATTTATGTAAATAATCAATAATATGTTTCAGCCATATGACTAAGAATTATCTACCTGTGCCAATAGAGCCTATCAATATACCAGTAAGGACACTAATCAAATTCTCTATGAGAAATGGAAAAAGAAGAACTGTAAAGGCAGTTATAAAACGTTTCTATAGACTGGACTGGTAGTATTTTAAGATTATATTAAGTACATTGTAGTGATTTTACAAATTACTGGATATAACAAGTAATTCTAATTGACAACATTGCATACAGATAAATACTAGAAATTTAAATGGAAAATAAATGAAACTTTATAGGGGTATATGGATTAGAACAAAGGCAGGTCGTAGTAAGCGTCTGTGGCGTAAATCATCAGCCAGGAAGAAGAGATTGCGAGAACATGTATTCTGTAATGCTACACAGTCTACGCTATTGGACAAAATGGTAGCCCCATTCTGGCACAGACGACATTTTTACGTCGATGATCCATACAATCCTTATCACGAACGAGAAGAATTCTATATCACCAGAAGAAAACCATTACCTTAATTTACTATGTATATTGATAAAATTAGAAGCAATTTCACTTAACATGTTTCAACTAAAGAAACATTAAAATAAAATCACCTGTATGAAAAAATTGTATTTTCTTATTTAATCAAACTTAATCTACTGTATCAAATATACTGTTCCATATATATATTATAAAATATTTCGTAATTATTTTGCGAAGACGCGTACATAAGTTTTTCTTAATTACATTTTTTAAGCAAATCATGTATTCTTTAAAATGACACATCCATAGATCACATTATCTACATAGTTTATGTTGTAAAACAATTAGAAAAGCAAGAAGACAGTAAGTAGGTAATAAAAGTAATAATTTTCCAAATTACTTTTACTGCCTATTTACTTATTATTTCTGTCTCTCTCTGAATTTTTATCCATTTAAAGATTACTCTATAGTCAAGGTTATAGATTGTTGGATTTATCTTTTCATCCTTTACAATTACAGCTGATTAAAAATAGAATATTCTGTTTAAAAAACTTGAGACAATCTTCAAAAATTTTTGGTACTTCTGTTTAAAAAAAAGAACTAAGACGACCAAAATATATCTCCTTCAAAATTACTTAATTTTCATTTCTTAAACATTTCTGTGTAAAATCAATATTTATGAAGATGCTCAAAAGGCAGTTTCTAGTAACTCACTTTACATATACTTTAAATCAAGCATAATTATCCATAGTACTAATTTTAATAATAATCAATTGCCAAGGTTTATTTACACGAGTTTACAAACAATATAAAATTTGGACAATCAAGGACATGTTCGATCTACAAGCATCTCCGCAAGATGTCCTAATTTTTCGTTAACAGATAATTTTACCTGTATGTCGAAGTAACAGAATATCATTTTACATTTCGTGAGACGAAACGTCCGTTTCACAATTCGAGAAATACCTCTTCGTATCCCAAGTAGAACAGGTTGCCTATTGGTTAACGTTTTTGAAATTAACTTTTAGAACGTATCTATAAGATAACAAGTCAATGTCAATAATTCGTCTCTATTAATATGACATTAATTAAATAACAATTTACAGTTGATTAATAGTTAGTTCATTTATGCATCTTATAGTTATCATTTGGTATATATTTAATTTGTATCCATATACCAACTTGATACTTTTATATCTAAATGATATCTTTTTGGATTTTAAAAGTTATCTTTCGGGCGGACATTAGATAATCTTTTCACTAAACAGAAACTTAACTTTTTTACCGAAAATAAAGTTATCCTGACTTAATTTTATATAGTAAAATGGAATACTTTAACATTGTTCTACTTGGAATCTTTCCCTCAATCCATTTCAAATTGCATCGATTGTTCAATACCTCAAAAGGGGGATCGTTCTTCCAATAACGGGTCACAAATATAAGCTTCCCCACCGCGCGCGACATTGGCGAAAGAGGCGCCAATGTCTCTAGTCGTGTGTCGTCCTTCGCGAGGTGAGTGTCTGTCGCGCGGCGCCGTTGTAATCAGTATCTGGATTTTTATTGTCGCGTGTCGTCGCAAATCTCGCCCCATCGACGTCAATAACGATGCCTTATCGCGGAAGATTACGCTTGCTCGGTAGAGCCTGCTTGGCGTTCAGGAATTCGTGTAAAAAGAGCGAGAACAGTAGCCATTTCACCGCCAATATAGTCGGCAGGAATTTCTCCGTAAGCAGTGCGCTCGATATGAGGTGAGCCGCCCGGCCTCAGGGCTGTAATAAGAAACAGGTACCCTTATTGATATCATCTCAACCGTTGAATTCTTGAGCGATAAGTGCTCTTGACAACGGAATGAAGTCGTGAATCTGAGGCCGCATTCTTGACGCATTTCGAGCGCTAAGTATGCCCTTTTTATTCCAAGTTCTACTTATACAGGCCGTCACCGTATAAGGTTGCTAACTAGAGAATCAGAAAGGTGTATGTACTTAACGTTTGAATGCGCGTCAAGAATACGACCCCTTCTATCAACTTTACAACGTACGGTCCGATTCCGCGGCATTCCAATTTTTAATCTGTCACGTATGCTAACATTACAGGTCTGCTCTTTCCAGCTGAACTGCCTGAACTAGTGCAGACTGCTGCAATAAGTTAGAATGAAACAAAATATATTTGTTCTCACTCTATGGTCGGTATTCATAGTCGAATCTCATTTCAAGACCGTCTTAAGTAATGTCCCAAGTAGACCAACGTTATCTTAAAATATTCCACTTTTTTTTACTATATAAAATTTTTTTACTATATAAAATTAAGTCAGGATAACTTTATTTTCGATATAAAAGTTAAGTTTCTGTTTACTGAAAAGATTATCTAATGTCCGCCCGAAAGATAACTTTTAATATCCAAAAAGATATCATTTAGATATAAAAGTATCAAGTTGGTACATGGATACAAATTAAATATATACTAAATGATAACTATAAGATGCATAAATGAACTAGCTATTAACCAACTGTAAATTGTTATTTAATTGATGTCACATTAAAGGAGACGAATTATTGACATTGACTTATAGATACGTTTCAAAAGTTAATTTAAAAACGTTAACCAATAGGCAACCTGTTCTACCTGGTTCTACCTGGTCTTAAGATGCGATTAGACGGCTCTGTAATTGGTTCATGACATGGTTCATCTTAAAACAGTACTTAAGATAATCTTAAATATAAGATCAGACTATGAATACCAGCCTAAATTATTACATCAGTGTGCACCAATTCAGACAGTTTAGCTAAAAAAACAAACCTCATATAGGGTGCGTCCAACGCATTTTTTAAGCGTATTTAAACGCAAAGTACTCCAGCACAAATGTCCAAAATCGAGTCATAAGACGTCTTTAAGGCAACTTTAAGACATCTTTAAGACAATACTTTATAAACTTGTCTTAAAGACAACTTAAAGACGTCTTAAAGACGTCTTATGTCCCACTTTTAGACATTGTGCTGTCTGGGACGCTTTTCGAATTCTCGAGCTAAACAATCTTACATAGGACACTCATATAAGAAAACGGTACTTGTGTAAAAAGGATGTATTCCGTGTTTAAATACACGTCAAGGGTGCGGCCCATATTCTTGAAATTTTTACATATATGTCAGTTTTATTTTACACATGTATAATTGTATCATAATCGTATATAATCGTATCATAATAGCTGCGCAATGAAACTTACATATACACAACTATTTCAAGAATACAGGCCCAAAACTGCTACTTCGAGTTAAAAATATTACTCCACCGGCGTTCAGAAAGTGTCCCAGGCAAAAAGTTTGCTTTCTATTACTGAACTGGCGGCACTATATAGCTTCTACTAGTTCTCTTCCCCTCTTTCTTCAGCTAAGTCTCAACTGTATACCTCTCTCTTTGTAGTCCGCGAATGTACACTAATCCAGTGATAAAAAGACAGTTAAAATTGACATTCTACGTTATGAAACGTCACGTTAGAACATTGGAGTGTGTTACCCAGAATAATCTTCTTCAACTATTTCGATCCATTTTTATGGCTCGACGGAGTAACCTATTTTATTTTGGCGCAAAACACAAGTGCACCAATACAAACCATGCTCAACATATATGTCCAAAACTGAGACATAAGATGTCTTTAAGACTGCTTTAAGTCATCTTTCAAATGTCGGGACACATCTTTAAGTCATCTCAAAGACGTCTTAATGACGTCATAAAGACATCTTTTGTCCCAATTTTAGATAGTGCTGTCTGGGTGGGATTTATTTCCATTCCAATTAAAGGTCGTCACACCCCGTGTCGCTTAGAAAACAGAAATTTAATACGAAATAATAATCTATTGATTGACTGACTCTCGATGGGCAATTTTTTTTATTCTTTGAGATTGTCTTCAATAATACATTATAATCACTCATATTTAATTAATTTTTAATATAGAAGTTTTATTCTCAGTTTTATTCTTTCTTACTTAGATTAAAAATAGAATTTAGCGATTTGAATGTGAATATTTTGCTTTAGGAATATTAGTTCTATTTGAAAAGACAGTTTATCCATGAAATGCAAATAATATTCTGTTCTCTTACAGATTACACAGATTCGATCTATGCATGTGTAAATATACAGGGTCTTTTGTTCTGCCGTTGTTGATCTATTTTAACTCATTATGACTGAGTTTCGACATTCATTGCGAATACTGAAAATCTATAATTCATATTACATATACTATAGATTTTCAGTATTGGCAATGAATATCGGAACGCGGTTCGTATACGTTCCGAAAATCATTTGACTTTGTGGTTACTCTGGGTACTTTTTAATTCAAGGCCAATTTTTCCAATCTCTTGATAAGTATACTAACAGTTAAATTAAATCATACGTCTGTGTTTGTTTCAAACTAGACACTGTATCAAGAGATTGAAAAAATCAGCCTTCAATCAAATTTAACCTTATTCTACCTAACGAGTAGAATTTCTGAACGCGTCTATATGTGGTTCTGTTCTGCCATTTCCGCGATTCAATAATTTACCTGCCTTCTTCTCACGCGAAGGTCAGTACTTTTATATTTATGCCAAGTATGACTGCGGTAAGTGTGGGACATTCGAAGTGTGGATAAATTAACGTTATTAATTGTTGGTGGCAATGTAGATTTATCTTTCCGCTATCTCTGATTCTCAAATTCCTGGAAGTAGATAACGATAAATGCGATCTTCGCCTTTGCGTTTGTTCGCCCAAAATGGCGAAATATAAAAATGTCATTATGATCTATCGAGATTATCGTGTATTCAAAGTCGTCAGTTCTCTGGTACTAATCTATAATAATAAGTCGGAACGGAAGATTATGACTCATTTCAAACATATCATTACGTTAACTCGAACTGATTTCGAAATAGACTTTCGTTGACTTTCGTGATGGACAACGATCAACATATTTTACAAAGCTAAGAATTATATATATTACATATGCAAAAACATTAGAGAAGTCGTCAAACTTCTCCGGCTTGCGGTGAAAACCTTTTAATATTTTTTCTATTTATATTCTTAGTAAATACTGTTAGTTGACAGCAAACATATGTCTTCCTATTATATTATAATTATATTATTATTATAGTTATCCTATATATATTATAATTATTATAATTATAATTATATAATTATAATTATTATAATTATAATTATATAATTATAATTATTATAATTATAATTATATTATTATAATTATAATTATAGTTGTATATAATTATATAATTGTTATTATATATATATATATATATATAATATGTTATAATCTACATATTATAACAATTGTTATAATTCCAATTATTTATAACATATCAGTATTATAATTTCCTACTCAATGATATGTGCTATTGCTACATACATGTGTTCTATTACACTTACATAACTGAAAACGAAATAACATTAATGTTACTCAGAAATAATGTTTCTGTTAGTATTCATTGAAGTCTTATTCAATAAAAACAAATAAATATATAGAACTTAGATAATACAATCCTGAATTTGCTCTATGTGTGTCTAGAACGTTTTAAGACACTTCTCAGGGTATCATAGACCCGTTCTGGATGATTTTAAGACATTTTGTACCATCTAGAAAAGAGTACCAACAACTATTTGAAAACTTTTAAATTCACAGATAATATTGCAAGAGATTTTTGTTAAATTATTTCTACAAAGTTGAGATTATTAAATATTTTTAAGAACTATGTTTTATTACGTTTCACTAGTCGCTACACTTCCGTGACAAACGTGAATTGATAAAAAAGGAAATATGCTATATTTAGAAAGTCAGATCGCATGCGACGTAGAGAGAAACCCGATTATTATGTCTAGCAGCGATTATAACATAACTATAGCGAATATAATCTATAACAGTATCGATTTTTCACAGGTTTGTTCAATTCACATTCAAGAATGGAGGTCCACAGCACCTCGGTGTGCAGCTGAAGCAAGGAGGCGATATCATCGCCGTGTCAGCGGTTGACTCGCGAATCCCGAACACTCTGAAAAAATTTCTGGAAGGCGGCGATGATCTTCTCAAAAAGGCCAAGAGGTAGACAAAAGTGATAGAAATGAAGCGATTCTAACAGTTATCTTAGCTTCGCTTTTATCGCTGTTTCCGTCTCAGTTAATCGTAATTGCACGAGTCGATTTGTATTATTGTAAAATACGTGTAGACGATAACGACGAGATAATCGTTGAAAAAAGCTATATAATCGTTGCAAAAATATTTATTTTATAATAATTATAAACAGGTATCATGCTCTCTTTTTATATGATCACTTTTTCTTGACGCGTTAATCCTCTGTTATAATGTACATATGCCTAAGATCATAATGCGAAAACATTTATCTTGTGATTCCATAATTCCGTGCGCGCGCGTGATTCCGTGATCCGTAATAACCATCAGTGTATTATTTTGTATGATTACTTTTATTATGACTTGTATCAATTTTGCATTATGACATGTAGTACGTCTGAGTCTATAATGTGTCAAGGTCTTGTTAACAAAATTTAAGATATTAATGATATTAATCAAGAAAATCGAGAGAATATGTTCCACCTAAATTTCGCAATGTTATATTCTTTTTCACAAGATTTCATTCATCTTAGCTTTAAAAAGGGTGAAATACATGTTGAGTTTGGGATGAAATATATCTTTGATTTTTTTACTTTGCGAGATTTTTTTGCTAGAAAAATAATCTTGAAATTTACGTAGTATAGTCCAGTGTGAATCATTAATCGATTAAAATTTTCTTGGACTAAAATAATTGGCAAATCTATAATCAGAATTAACCAATCTTTATACACAAAATGACAATTTAATCAAAATTAAAATTAATTATTAATTGTTAATCAAACTTTCATGATCAATTATACACTGATCAATTATACATGATCAATTATATTATTTACACTAATCGATTTCATCAGTTAATTAAATTACTCGTAATAATAATATATAAAATTTTATTAATTTTTATTATTGATTTGCTGATTATCCTAGTTAAAAAAAGTTTTCATTGATTAATGTCCAATATTGAACTATGTTTAAAAAAAATAATATTGAAATAAGAATTTTTTTGACATCTTGAAGTCTTTAATCATGTAGAGTCTTGTAGAATCTGTTGTCTGAGAAAAAATTTATTTATAATTCAATAAAATTAATGTTGAACAGAGTTGAAAATTAATTTATTAGAACCTTTTTACTAAAATAATCGGCAAATCAATAATGAAAACTAAGAAATCGTCATATATGAAATTACAATTAATTTCACCGATTAATGACATTAATTAGTCAAACTTTGATATGATTGATTATACATTGGTCAATTTCACCAATCGATTAAATTACTCATAATTACACATATAAAGTATGATTAATTTTGATTACTGATTTACTGATTGTTCTAGTCAAAGAAAATTTTCATCGATTAATGCTCAACACTTGTGTAGTCTAACAATATTTTACGTGAGTGGTATAGTAAAAAAAAAGCATAGATTATCCGATTTTATTGTGAACATTTGTTTCACCAGGGAAGACGATATCGACCTAAGGAAGGCAGTGGAGAGGTTGGTGTTTTCGGTATTCCATTCGTGTGAAAAAGTAGTTATTTTTTCCCCCATTTTTCTTCCCTCTCGATTTTTCTTGTATTTGCTCACACCTGCACACACGTGTGTGTGTGATGCGTGCAATCGCTTTTAGCGTTAGCACCGAGCCACACCTTCGACAAACATCAAACGGATTCACTCGACTATAAATCACCGATAATCTTATCGATGTCACACAATTCACAATTAATTCCTACACAAAAGTCCCACTCTTGTTTAACAAGTATTTAAATGAATTCTGAATATATATACATATATGTATATTTTTTTTCTATAATGGAGTTCGTGGAAGTTTAAAAAAATGCGTCTAAAATACTAGAATGCTATATGTTCTTCGTATGTTGAGTAATCGTCCCTCAACAGGTAATTTATGTTAATATTTCCTGCACGGTATTTATCACCGGCGTAAAAAAAAACGTTTACACGAGAACAATTGTCATCTTCGTACGTGACGGGAATGTTCTTTTTCCGCGATGTAACCAGTAGATCGCGACGGTGGTTTATGCAACGATGATATTTTAATCATTGCTTTTATCGCGCGTTGTCAAATATAAGAAATATTCTATTCGCAATTACGTTGCAATTATTTAATGTGACAAACATTTATCTGACAAGTTCTGCTGGCCAAGCAATTTACAAACAAACACTTTACTGACAAGACTAACTTTAAATAACATTATTCAAGGACTTATTCAAGGATATTACTGACGGTCTACGTTTCTTTTTTCTGGGAGATCCGTTGATTGAAAAACCTCACATATGTGATAAACGTACAAACATATATATGTGTGTCCTTAAATTAGTTTCATTAGTAGAAAATTGCTGCGTTTTACGTCATCACGTAGCGTTTTATAAATTGTTGCATGTTTCCTGTTATTCGGCTCTCATCGTTCTCAATTCAATCTTGCAAACGCTATTTTAGTAATTGTTAATTGTTATCTTGTTGTCTGCATATGCTAAATTTTTCATACTTCTGCCTATTATATCTCACTGCATCTTTTCGTCTTGCGCGAGATTCAATAATCGAATCTTATCACTGCAACCAACTCAATCAGACACAGTTGTTGACACTAACTCAAGCGGGCACCTTGTCTCGCTGCCAATTGGCAAACTTTCAAGCTGCTTTAGTTCAGCTGAAAATTTAAATACATTGTTCGGTAAATGGCACGACATTATTTTTACATGTACACATAAGATGTGTTTTTTTTTAAACAAATGAATAATTATTGCTATTTACATTTTTCTAACTTGGTTTGATGATTTAGTGGTTGATAATACATTTACCAATTGACAAATGTAATGGAATATGCGATAAAAATGTTAACTCATTCGTGTATTAACGTAACATTCATTTATGCGATATCGCTTTCATTCATTATGGCACATTATACATCTGAATTACAAGTGTGATGACTCTACAAATGTATTTACATAAAAGTTTCCATTTTGTATACGATAGGTATGTGAAGTTTTGTAAATTTTTTGTATTGTTCATTCGGTTTTTATGAACGTCTATCTGTAAACGTATGCTTTGTGCCTTGTATTGTTTGTGTGTTATAATAACTTGATAAATTGTGTAAAAACTGTTATTTCCACTTCTTTAAAATTGTAGAAACCTTGATGTTTTAAGATTATATCATACTTTTCTGTACTATGATAAAGTGTATTAACGTAACGGATTTGTAGGCGGATTATGGACGCGAGAAGGATCGAAAGTAGTGAGATAAATCGAAGAACGAGAGAGAGAGAGAGAGAGAGAGAGAGAGAGAGAGAGAGAGAGAGAGAGAAGAGAGTGGGACGTAAGAGAAGATCACGTTATTGTCGTCAAGTCACTCAGAATCAGAAATAACGCTTCACGAAATTACAATAAACATTTCCCAAACCAACACTCACCCGATTGTTAAAAGAATTGAATATCTTATATTTACTAAAAGAATTTTCTAAAGAAAAAAATTGTCTAAAGAAATTTACTAAAGAAAAGTCAAACGAGTTTCGTTATGCATAAAACATACCGAAATTATCTTAGTCATGTCAAAGAAATCGTCCGTACACATTTCTCTCGTCGTATTTCGCAACATTGAAAGCCTCATGATACATCTGTTATATAATTCGACGTCCGTGAAGAAAAATATATCGTAAGAGGCTACACATGCGATTAGTTAGTCACACGTACGATGCGATTAGCTAATCACAAGCAGCAGCTTGTGACGAATATAAGAACGGGTTTATCCGCATCGATTGGCGATACGGAATTATCGGCAACAGATTAAAAGTGTAATTAGCTCGCTACATTACGCGCTTACCATTTCAAAACGACTTTTCTATGTGCTGAAACACGCAAAATTGCATGCTATCAGACACGGTCGTTCGTGCGACAATAAACAACATATTTGCATAACAAAGCACACAAGCCAATTGTGCAAATGTGATAACGACCTATCCTCAACCTCCTCTTATCCTCTGCTGTACGACTACATTTGACTCTCTTCTTATCTACTTCGACACCGCGAAGCTTCATCACGCACCTTCTTCACAGTAGACGTAAAAAAAAAGGAAGAAGAAGAACAAGAAAAAAAAGATGTCTAACCAGACCTCTCGCGTGTGCGATGCGTGCATTGACTCCGATTACGTAATCAATAAAGTTTATTTCGCAGAATGCTGAGTCTAACGCGATGGTTACAGAATAGTCGCCGAAGGACGGAGCATCATACCCGAGGCCGACGTGAATTTCCTCGCACCGGTCACGCGCATGGACAAGCTCGCCTGTATCGGTCTCAACTATAGCGGTCATTGTCAGGAGCAAGGTCTACCGATCCCGGAGAGTCCTATAATCTTTAGCAAATTCCCCAGCAACATCATCGGGCCATGCGACAACATTCAGCTGCCGCAAATTTCCGACGTAAGTCGAGGTTACCACGGAACACGTGGAGTCACTTATCGACACGAAGAGGGAAGGAGAAGAGGGGGGAGGGGAAATCGCCTGATTATGTATTTTTAGTTCGCCGCGAACCGACGTCACAACCGACGTTTTCGTCCTATTCCGACAGACATGAATACGCGCTGTTCTACAATTCATTCACAGACAGTTTTCCGAAGTCTGCAGCTTGCATACCGATTAGCGGTATAAATTATATTGGCACGTTTCGCTGTTTCGTTATGCAGTTTCCCAACAGTCGTCTAGTAGAAGGCGATAACGGCGTCGTATACTGGATGTCCCGCAAATCGCGCGCTCGACCGTGTGACTGAAGCTTGCATATGTAATACTTGGGTTCACAGAAGGTCGATTGGGAGGCCGAACTGGCGATAGTTATCGGCAAAACATGCAAAAGTCGTGACAGCAATGACGTCGAGGACTGCATCTTTGGATACACGGTGGCTCAAGACGTGACGGCGCGGGATTGGCAGAAAGGTAAACGTAACGGTGGGCAGTTCCTCCTTGGCAAAGGAATGGACACGTTTTGTCCTCTGGGTCCGGCGGTCGTCACCAAGGAGGCGATCTGCGATGTCCACAATTTATCCGTGAAGACATGGGTAAACGGCAATTTGAAACAGGACGGCAATACCAGTGAACTTATCTTCAAACCCAATGATATAGTCTCTTATATTTCGCAGTTCGTATATTTGCTTTCATAAATCGATAGAAAAAAACAGATGTAACCGTGTATTAATTGACTGAAAACTTTCAGATTTATGACGTTACTGCCAGGCGATGTAATCCTTACCGGCACTCCTGCCGGTGTGGGATACACACGCAACCCACCGGAGTTCCTGCAGGTATATCTATTATCATCATAGTTATATAATAATAGTGTGTACATACACCTGTAAAATAAATGCTGTTTATATATTTGATATACAGGGTGCGGAAAAAAGTTATGTCATAACTTTGCAAGATAATAATACAGGTCAAAGTGAACAGAAAAGGTCCTATGAACATAGGTTCAAAAGTGCCTAGTTGCGAGATATGCGCCATACAAAAATGAAATCTATGTTGGTGAGATAACGCGAGATGTTGGTGGATCAACTGGTTTATGGGGAACGGGTGATCTTTACAAGAGGTGCTCAACGTGTGAGCCATTAACTTCTACACACAAGCGACAGCGCCGCTCAAAAGACTACATGGTTGCGTTACAACAGACCTCTCTATACACCAAATGCATGTCTGCAAACATTACTAAACAGGCGATTAACCGTTTTTATCACTCATCGGAAAACGTTCTGCACTTGTACGTCAAGGTACGCCGTCCTGGGTAAACATGGACTCATATCTGTGTTTATTCCCAGAACACGCGGGAACGTGTGACATTGTAAACAAAGATCAGGCGATGGTTCACACGTTGAGCACTTTTTGTAAAGGTCACCCATTCCCCATAAACCAGTTGATCCACCAACATCTCGCGCTATCTCACCAACACAGGTTTCATTTTGTACGGCCGTATCTTGCAAACTAGGCATTTTCGAACCTATGTTTATAGGATCTTTTCTGTTCACCTTGACCTGTACTATCACTTTGCAAAATTATGACATAACCTTTTTCCGCACCCTATATAATTTTTTTAATAAAATAATATTATAATATATCAGGTTTTTTTAGTCAAAAAGTTCGGTTTAGTTTTCAACAAACGACGTCATATACAGGATGTCCAGTAACTCACGAAGAAACCGCAGTGCACAGATAAATTAGATCAAACAGAACAAAAAATTTCTTTATCATTTTGCGAACAAGCATATAAAATTTTGAGTTATTAATCAACGAAGATTCGTAAATGATTACACGCCATACAGTAAAGAGTTGTGATGCCGACGTCTGCCGCTATATACTTGTATATTAGATCAAATTGAACAAAAAAGTTCTCTATCATTTTTCAAATAACCACGTAGATGTTTAATTATTAACTAAAGAAAAGATTGGTACATTAATATGCATAACTGTACACTAATCTTCTTTTTTCTAATAACTAAACATATATACGTGGTCATTTGGAAAATAGTAGAGGATTTTTCTTTAGTTTGACTTGATATACAAACATACAACGGCAGAAGTCATCGTCGCAACTCATCATATGATGCGTGATTATTCACAAATCTTCTTTAATTAATAACTCACAATTTTACGTGGTTGTTTCGCAAAATGAAAAAACTTTTTGTTCTGTTTAATCTAATATATCTGTACACCACAGTTCTTCTCTTTACCGGACATCCTATATAATAAATGTTAACTAGTCTATGAATTATATATCGTTGCACTTCACAATGCAATTACTTGTAGTTGATAAATAATTTGCTTTAAATTTAATAGAATTGAATTTGCGGCTCAAAAATTAAGAACTGTCAAATGAAAAACTTCTAAACTTTCTGACTAATTGTATTCTGACTAACTATTGTATTTCTAACTAACAATTACGCTCTATGTTTATAGCATTGTTTATTGTATATCTTATAATTGTATATTTTAGCGCGGAGATGTACTCGAAACTGAAATTGAAAGTTTGGGAAAACTGAGAAACAAAGTAATCTAAGAAATGGAATATGCATTCGAAGATCGTGTAGAAGAAGAAGTTTCTCCTTCAAGATCTTCACAAGACTGGAACTACGTTCCTTCTGGGACGAACATTCGCAATAACGTAGAATTATCTTTTCAAAACTTAATTTGGTGAAGACATTGACAGGAATGGTCGAGAACAGGCCTTCGCCAAATACTGGAATTTTTTATTCGGATATCCAAAAACTTAAAATCTCAATATTCTATTAAAATAACCCAAATTCTGACCCAAGTTGAGTCATTAAATTGTAGTTAAAAAAAAGTATTGATTTATTGATTGAAATTTTCGAAAAGGATCTAAGTTGCTGTAAATATGTTTCGGGTCGAACTTACTGCTAACTTGCTCCAAATTCGGATTTGATTCTTTAATTATTCGAATACTTTAGGGAATTCGAATTCCCAAGTTCTTTGATTATTCGAATATTTTAGAGGATTCGAATTTCCCTTTAAATGCTGGTTATAGCCATCATTTAAAGTATTATATTTATTCGCTATCCGAATAATCGGATATCCAAATAATGTTAAATTCGAACGAAACCGAATGTCTTGAAACCTATCAAGACATTCGGATTATTCGGACGACGTCGATAACAGCACTATTACGAATGTTCATGCCGGGAACAATGCCCTTCTTCACTCAGGGCGCAAATGCATCCAACAGATAGAATAACAACGCTAATTTTTTGTGTTATGTATTTTATGTACTTCTATAATTAAAATGAAATTGTTTTCATGATGTGTCTGTTTTCTTCAATATTCCGTATAATTTTAACAGAAAAATTCTGCGTCACTTGTCAAGATAGAAAATAATAACTGCGTTTAATCATAGCGTATTTATTTTTCATATCTTAGTGTAAAATGACCAACCACAGTAAACGAAGAATTGAAATAAAGTTTTGAACTTATAACACTTTTATATTTGATTATCGGCAAAATACAAATCCAGATGCCAAACCTGCGCAAAAAATTTTTGAACAGAGTCTGCTACAAATTATTGATGACAGAAAGGTAGTAAAACCAACATAGAATCTGTTATATTTGATTATGTTATCAAAGTGCCGGCACAAAGTGACAGATGGCTATTGTTTTGGTATGGAATTCTGATCAAAGAGCCCAGCCAAGTCCCAGCGGTGCATGTTCCCCAAAATGGCGCGATTGAATTTGGGATCGAATAGGAGAGGAAGTAAATAGATCTGGACAAGCTGAAAATGAAATGGTGCTTTTTACGTTGCAGTGACACACCGTTCTCGAGATATTCAGTCCAGAAGACTAGGTGGCTAATTACGAATTTTTAAACTTCAAGGGGATGCCGGACATGAAAAAAAACATTGACTTTTTTCTGCAAAGTTTACGTCTAGTTGCTTGCATGGAAGTACAAGCGCTTTTACACAACAAAAGTACACGCAAAAATAAATTGGAGCATTGCTCAATATGTGACGAAAACAAAAAAAATTTATATAAATTTAAATTTTGAGCTGTCAGTTAATGCAACATTTCCTTAATACAAACATTCTGCAGGTTGTACATACTGAAACTGTGAATGCCCCAATCAGGAAAAGTTCATCACCACACTTTCGAAATTTAGTTTTGATGCCAAAAAAGATACGAAAAGTTTGCAGAAAAGTTTATGAGAACATGCGGTTAGGTATTCCGACAATTATGATAAAGTAGAGCAAAAAATTAGTTCACGGATATTTTTCGAGATGCCACCATAATCTTATCGTACATTTCACAACGTCGGAATATTCAGATTATATATATATAGTTTTCTCAGAGCCCACGCAACTGTTTATCGCGATGTCGCAGCATTATATATATACATATAAACATATATAATCAAAATTACAGGCAAAATAATAATATTTCTACAAAGATTTCTACAAAGATACGTCTTATTTATTGAACTGAATTAAAAACAATTTTACATAGTGAAAGTACGTGCGAAAATAAAGCGGAGCATCCAATAATATGAAGCGAAAACAATACAGAATAATTATTATCACGACATCGAATCTTTCTACAAAGTTTATTTCTTTCTACCTGCGTCGCACTAAAAACCTTTGTGTATGGTGAAAGTACCTGCGAAAATGATGCGGAGCATCCATCAATATGAGAGGAAAACGATAATACACAGTTACTATCACGAAATCGAAACTTTCTGCAAAGTTTACTTCTTTCTACCTGCGTCGAATTAAAAACCCTTTTGCACGGTGAAAGTACATGCGAAAATGAAGCGGAGCATTCATCAATATAAGACGAAAACGATAATGCACAGTTACTATCACGAAATCGAATTTTTCAAAGTTTACTTCTTTCTACCTGCGTCGAATTAAAAACCCTTTTGAATGATGAAAATACGTGCGAAAATGAAGCAGAGCATTCATAATATGAAATCAAAATGATAAGAAAAAATCTATTTTTTCATACATATTTATGATATATCTCTAAATGATGATATGTCTATATACGAAACGGAGACGATCGTCAAAATGTTACAATTGATAAGCGTCAACATGTTCGCGCTACCATTGCGCCGAATTATGATTTCATATATCGTCCCTTCACAAATGTTACGCAAGTGTGTGTGCTACGTTGTCATTTCAATTTTCTTACACATAGACGTTACGTAAGTGTGAATGCCACGTTGCGCTTATCAAATGTTCTCAATTCCGTATATAGATATATTATAGACATATCATCACATAGAGATATATCATAAACATGTATGAAAGAATAGATTTTTTCTTATTGTTTTCGTCTCATATTTTTGAATGTGCCGCTTCATTTTCGCACGTAATTTCGCAATGCAAAATGGTTTTTACTTTGGTCCAATTAGCACGAAACAATAGTTTCGCAAAAGTATTCGGTATCACGTCAACATTTCCCAAAAAATTTTAATTTGTGTTAACTTGACCAAATTAAAAATTCTTTTGTATAGTAAAGATACATGCATAAATGAAATAGGGCATTCCTCTTTCAAGGATGAAAACGATGTGGAACTACTGCTATCGTGACATTGATTTCATTTTTCATTAATTATAGTTTACTAACTGCTCCAATTTAAAATTTATGGTAAAATTACATGCGAAAATAAAGTGTAATATTGGTCAGTGCGAAATAAAAATATATCTCAAATTACTGTTGCTAATTATATTGAAATCTCAAATAATAGGTAACGTATTCTTCAAAATATTATTCGCAAATTACAACACTTTTTTTCTAAAAACTTTTTCTTTGATGCACCCAACACACAAGCGGTTTGAAGAATTCATTAGAAATGCAGCAAAGCCTGTTTTGAAGAGAATGCAAATATCGGCAACGTGGCACTCACATTTAGGTAACGTCTATGTGTAAAAAAATTGAAATGACAACGTAGCACATACACTTGCATAACATCTGTGAAAGGATGATAGCGGTATTATTATAGCGCCTATTTGACGATTGTCTTTATTCTATAAATATATATGTATATATAAATTCGATATCGTCGGTAAATGAAGATAACGTTTTCTACTTTTTGACGATCGCTCTACGTTATCGACGCTTATCAAATTTATCGCTCGCTCCGGAATCCCCTTAAGGGGATGCCGGACATGAAAACTTTACCGACATAACATGACTTTTTTCTGAAAAGTTTACGTCTTGTTGTTTGCACAGAATTACAAACGCTTTTACAT